ATAGTTTTTAACGTCATTTCAAAAATAATAAATCAATCAACTTAACCACGATGTCAGAATAACCGATTAAAAACCTAACTAATAATAAATAATTGTCATACAAAAAAAAGAGAAAATTATGCTATTCTTTATATTTATTTATTTATTATTATTATTATTATTATTATCATTATTATTATTATTTTTATTTATTTATTTATTTATTTTATTTTATTTATTATTTATTTTTTTTTTTTTTGCAGGTATCCCTCTGTTTTAACTGATGTTAAACAAATCATAATGAGCCAACAGGAAAATTCCCACCATTAATGTAATATGCTCTGAAACGTCGTATTTTGGCGTCATCAGTAACGTACGACGCTGAAACGGTTGTCGTCTCAGCAATAAAGCCACCTACATGCACTGGCAACGGTCACCTGATGGGAAAGACGGCGAAAAAGGCTGGTTCCATATTGAGGTGGCAGCGTTCCGTTTAATTGGCCTTACCTGCGTTGAATTGGATACAAGATCCCATCTCAGTTTCTATCATTGAAAAATCAGCATCTGTACACATCACCTGATCGAACAGGCAGAACTGCAAGAAAAAAAAAACTTGCTGAATTGCAAGCTAGTATAATAAAATCCTATGGAAATATCAGGATTACAAGAAGCAGATTCGTGTCATTCGTGTTGAAAATGAGCACATCCACCAGGGATGGAAATAAAAGTAGACCCCCAGTGCATCAACATTTAAAATGGAATCGATCAATTTTCGAAAATTAATTTTAATTTTAAAAAGAAAATTGAAACAGATGGTCAATGTATTTAGGTAGATTTATAGAATTTGCGAATAATGGCACGTTTGACAAAACGACTACAGCCAATGTCTCTTTTCCATATGTAACAAAAAAATGTTTTTACTTCACTTTACCTTACGGAGACTTGACAATGATATTGGATGCGATATTTTTAAACCAGTTTTGAATTTCAACCAACAATATTTACGTAAACCCTGATTGATTTTCATGAAAAAAGACGCCCGTTTTCGAGTGGACATTTCTTCCCCAAACATCGCCAGGTGACATCTTGGTCAATAATAATAATAATAATAATAATAATAATAATAATAATAATAATAATAATAAGTCTTATTTTTTAAATAATTACAATATGTCACCTATGACAGCGGTAGCATATAAAGATCAACCTGGTTGAAAACATTTATGGAAATTTTTACAAGTATTATACAATTTTAGAATGATAAGACGTGTATTTCTACTTACTGTCGGCTTTAGATCCACCATCTTGTATTGGTTTCTGGTGTGGAAATCTGTCCAGTTGTATTGCTCGATATTGGTAAGATTGAAGTTTAACATGTCAAAATAGTTTGCCTGTTTGAGATGTCCGTTCGCTTTGAGATACGGCAGCTTAAACATATTGTTGTTGCAGATGGTTACTGTGGGGAAGTGAATTGAGTCGTTGTGATGGAATTTTATATCCACCAACGCTGGGTTCTCGAGGAAATAGGAAATGCGGTTCCACAGATGGAAAATTAAGAAACCTGACCCACATAAAACGAACGCTAGCCACAGTAATCGCCTGACAGGTGAGAATTTAGGATTGGCCACCTGCTTCATCCCGAGGATGCTAACGTTATTGGCAAAGTCAGATATCTCGTCCTTCAGGGATGGGATGGTTTCATCCTTCTGCTGGTCTAGCTTACCTTCGGTAATATTGGTACCGCGTTGTGTTGGCTCGTTGCTAAAGTCGCCATGCATATTGTTGTACTGTTTTATAAATTCTGTTCCTTTTTCTTCAAATGGAAATGGGTGGACGCTAGACATTTTCTTTTTGTTTGTATTTGGTTTTGATGTGCCAGAATCTACGAGAAAAGCAGGCGGTTAAGTCACATATGTCTTAAAAAAATATTAAAATCTGTTTTTCGTCACTGTTATTGCAGAAGAACAATTTGATTATATAGCGGAAAAAAGGACAGCAGACGCAATTTTAGTGGCGAGGAACATCATCCCGATATTTACGAAAAAGAAGGAGAATCAAGTCTGGTTCTTTTGATTACTCCAAAGCTTTCGACTCTTTGTACCACGATGCCCTCTGGAAGACCCTCAATGGCTTCGAAGCCCCAAAACACCAAACGTTGCCGCTGAAAAGTTTGTATGATCATGCCAAAGGAGTGATGCGGGTAAACAACCAGTACAAAGAATAGTTTTTGTTTGAAATTGAAATGAGACAGGGATGCCTGGTATCATTGCTTCTTTTCAGCGCCACTGGAGAGGGAATCATGCAAGAAGTCCCAGAAAGGCTCCATGACCGATCTGGTAAAGTCCTTGCGGGAAGAAAAAATATGCTTATGATACGACAATGGCGGCTAAGTAAAGAAAAGAATAGAATGCAAGGAGATGAGAGGCGATGATGAATAAAAGCAGAGAAGCAGGTCTCAACGTCAAAAAGCCAAAACATCTGCAATACCAGTGCATAGGGAGTGAGAGATGGTGACAGTCTTATTCCACTCCCTTTTGAACTTCAGATAGTAGTATAATTTTCGTTGTACATGGATTTTTTGCATTGTTTTGCAGTATTTTGAACGTGTCTTCGTCGGTTAAAAGAAGCAGTGTTTGTATTCGTTTGAGGGTGTCTAAACCAAAATGATATTCTTAATCCTATTATTCCTGTACAGTTTACATTATCATAAAAAAAAACAGATTTTTCCGAATCAAAATTAAGGAACGATTATAAACATACGCGTACACTTACCTTGCAACCTCGGACACATCGACGACGAAGTTCAACCGAAATGCTGTATCACAATATCATTTTCAGCTATCGACTTATATTAATGGACATAAACGTGTTCTCTGTTTACCTAGCTACTAATTGTGTGTTTAAACGGGAATGAATTGAGCTAATCCAGCACTACAGACTCGGAATGGGGATGGCGGAAATGAGGGAAGCATCCAGACGTCGTGTCCGGAACAAAAACAGGGCATTGATGTTCCAACCTGGACGGATATAGGCTCAAAATCGATTAAAGCACAATCCACAAAAGTGACTCTTAAGAGTGACGTCTGTAGTATTCACATATTGTGTAATATTTGCGTAATTCTGACTTGTCCCATTATTTTTTGTTCTCTTTTGCATTATTACTTCCAATGCAGAAAGAAATTGACAGAAATTATTGAGTTTTTTTTAAGTTACGTAAATATAACAAAAAATATGGGAGAGTCACGTTTTATTTGTGACGGTCTCAAATTGGCCAAAACTAGTTTATGACATACTTAGCCACTGCGTAAGCTTACCTGTAATGCTGAGCGGAGAGAGATCGAATATGAGGAGGTTTATGTGAGAATAACTGCGAATTAGTCAGCCGGTAAGTTAGTAAACCCACAGGACAAAGACTTTGTGGCAGACGAGAAGAAATCGAACCGCTAATTATTGTTAACTGTAAAGGCACAATAGCTCTACTTAATGCCAGCAATTAGTCTTCACCCCAATGTGCTCGTGGTATTGACTAGGCTGTATATGTATAGGGACTCTTCTAAATCACTATTCATGTAGCTCGAATCACTATATAAAATATAGGCGTAAGATAAAGCATTAAGGGAACAATATTATAATGGACTATTCTAATATAAATTAATCTCCTCGCTGGGGTCCGGTGCACACCCCCTGGCAATCGCACGAATATAAAAGGAAGCAATTTAGCGTTTTATCATGTGTGCTATTTTAATTATACTTAAATTGGTGTCAGCTAAAACATAGGGCGATTTCAAGTAATCTAATGCTCTAATGCACTTTTAAAGACCACTTGTATCTGTTTATTAACACGTCATGACTAATGGAAAGTGATGTGCATAAGTTATGGGTTCCACATTTTGACCACGTTAATTACCGTTGGATTTGAAAGGAATCTAGAGTGATATCGATAAAACTTAAGCTCAACGTACTTGACAAACCGATCGTCAAATTTACCAGTGCAACCTGTTAATTACCATCAAACAGTACACCACAGTTGCGACTGTCATCTTATTGACACAGAGAGGGGTCGATTTTGTAACTGTTTCACACATTATAATCGTCAATAAATCAATATAGTTTAAACGCCGGGTCGACAACTTAATGGTTTATACATGGTATGCGGCAGTAATTATACTCAGCGTAAGCAGTAGGCAGAGGTACCAGAAATAATGAAAAATAAACTGTTAAATTGTAAATTTGGAAGGTAACAGTTGTGGGTCAATCATTAGATAAGTGATGATTTTTGGTGAAGATTCCTGGGAAGGTTAAGGTTTGTCGTAGGTACCGAGCACCGTGACAGGCTATTAAACCGGGAATCAAAAGTTATTTCCCCTTTTATTTTGCAAAGGACCACTCCAGTATTCCAGATATCATATATGAAACCTAGAAAAGAACTCCGAGAGCGCAGACGTCCGCCAATTAAGGCAGCAATTTATTATTATTATTGATTGATTATTATCATCTCTTCCTTGGCCCACTTCTGACAGTTCCTAAAAATTTCATCAAAATCGGTCCATAACTTTTTGAGTTATGTTGATGACAGACAAATAAACAAACAAACAGACAAAAAGGAGTGAAAACATAACCTCCCTGGCGGAGGTAATAATTCGTTGAGCAAAACGTATCATAAACATATCATACTGATTCTTCACACCTAATAGATACATCTCTACGCCATATACATATGACATAATCACACTATGCAGTTTCCAAATTATTATGTCTTTGAAACCCTGACCGTTGCTTTGCAGGGTTTTAAATGCCCAAATGACCATCGACCAAAAAATCCCAAGTGGGATGGTTGGGAACTTGTTTTACATCTGCCTGCGTAAAGTCATCTGTGGCTGTGTTAATTGATGTTTTAACAATCACTGCAGTAAGTAGACGGCTTGATTTGTGTCATGCTGGGGAGCCTGTAATACTTCAATTCACCCAATTGGAGAAAGACGTGACTGAACTTTTGTAGCCAAAACGGCGTTTGTTAAACTCTATACTCTCTTTCCAAACAGTTTCCGTAAACTCACGCCCAGAACAAAGTCCACTATTTCAGCAGCTGTCATCAAGGTGCTCCCCAGCACGAGACCCAACGCTCCCCCGATATCTGCGAAGAGGGTCAGCGCGCTGTACGCCTCCTGTTGCACCACCTCCTCGACGCTGATGTCAGAATAGAAAATATTCAGCATGATGATATTTTCACGGAAGAACGATGTATCGGTGTTGTTGTACATCGCGATCAGTCTCTTTATGAATACTTCAGACATTCTGGTGTGTGAAATTGAGTGCGTATAAAGGGTACTTTGACAAGCCTCCATGCAATCACAGCCACTGTAACCAGCCATCTGTTCTGTGCTGATATTGAAACATTCAAACATGATATCTTTGAGGTTACAAGTTCGCTGATCATCGATTGTTTGATTGCCCGTTTTTGGTTGATAAAACATGCGGCAACCACATGTTTGTGTGTGATTTAGACTGAAAAGAAATATTTATGTCTAATTAGAATAAATTTCCAGAGTTTCGATCTCATATTATTCATTCTCAAGTCAAAAACTATTTAAGGACTTTTTTTAATGTTTTGAATTATTTGTAACTACTGATCGTGCGCGAATCATCTCATTTCACACACCACTTGCAAACACATTAACACAGTAAACATGGATGTTTGCTTTTTTCTGGACATTTTCCGGAAGACCATGACCCCCCCCCCCCCCCACACACACACACACATGGTCAAAAATCGTTATATGTTCCTTAACGTTGCACGTATGCATAACTGCAAAGACGCGTGTAATGTATGGTAATTAATCAACCCTATGTGTTATAACGGAGAATGCAACTAAACATACATTATAAGATATAAAAAGTAATGTCATTTTCTCTTTTACAAAAGGTAATTCCCTTTTCTCTCTCTATATATATATTCTTAGGTAAAGAAGTTGATTTTTTTAATGTTAAATATTGTCAAAATGTCAAAAATCATTGTCACGCCTTGAAAAATACTGCAAAAAATGGCAGCTCCAGGTAAACGAGAAAAAGTGCAAAATATTAATTTTCAACAAAGCTGTAAAAACAGAACAGCACCTAAAATTCACAATAAATGAAAATATCCTGGAAAACGTTACAGAATATACTTATCTAGGTATCACCTTCACCAATACAGGTAACCTCAAGAAAGCAATACACAATCTAAAACAAAAAGCAATGAAGGCCATGTTTGCGCTTAAAAGCACTTTATCCTCCCAAAACATATCTAATCCACTATTACAAATGAAACTATTTGATAAAACTGTAAAACCGATTTTACTATATGGTAGCGAGGTATGGGGTCAGGAAATTCTCAAAGAAAAATCACTAAGCCTAGATAAAATCAATAACACGTCCTTCGAGCAAATTCACCTAAAAATGTGCAAATGGGTATTAGGAGTGAGAAAAACTGCCAGTAATAATGCCTGCAGAGCAGAATTGGGTAGATACCCAATCCTTACAGATATAATTAAATCCATGCAAAAATACCACACCAGACTTAAAAATCTCCCGAATACAAGAATACTGAAACAAACATTTAGCGAAGAAAAACTCCTGAAAATAGATAATTGGACTAAAACAGAGGCGGCATTTAGACTGAATTGGGGAATTCAACATTGGGATGAAACATCAGACCTTNGATTTAGACTGAAAAGAAATATTTATGTGTCTAATTAGAATAAGTTTCCACAGTTTCGATCTCATATTATTCATTCTCAAGTCAAAAACTATTTAGGGACTTTTTTAATGTTTTGAATTATTTGTAACTACTGATCGTGCGCGAATCATCTCATTTCACACACCACTTGCAAACACGTTAACACACACACACACACGGTCAAAAATCGTTATATGTTCCTTGACGTTGTACGTATGCATAACTGCAAAGACGCGTGTAATGTATGGTAATTAATCAACCCTATGTGTTATAACGGAGAATGCAACTAAACATACATTATAAGATATAAAAAGTAATGTCATTTTCTCTTTTACAAAAGGTAATTCCCTTTTCTCTCTATAAATATATATTCATAGGTAAAGAAGTTGATTTTTTTAAATGTTAAATATTAAAATATCATTGTTTTAAAAATTCACTTACTAACATTCAGCATCGCAATTAAGTTTGGTATATTTTGGGAAGTACTTCAAAGTTCTCTCTTTGCACTGTCCGTGTGGGGGAGGGAGATTCGACAGCTGCAAATACATGTATAATATAATATAATATAATATAATATAATATAATATAATATAATATAATATAATATAATATAATATAAAGATGTGAGGTGCGTTGCATCCGTTACTTCATGGACAGGCACATCTAGATGTCACCACAGGTCTGGTGAGTTATTAACCCTTGTGTTAAAAATTTATTTACGAATCGATTTTCATATTTAGAATACGGAATAAACAAAGTAATTAGTGTGAACGACGACGACAATGCACGGCGCAATACATACTCAAAGAGTTTTTAAAAAGTCATACGTTATGTTTAATCAGCTAGATATGCATTATATGTTGGAGAAAATGTAATGGTGTCTATAAATATTTATGTATAATTACGGACATACTCGTCTTTGCTTCATAGCTATGTGGACACTTTCTCCCGGTGACACTTGTAACCCTAGGCCCGACATATCGGGAAATTCGCCTCGCTCGTGCAACAGTACCTGGGAATTAGACAAAAGTTATACAAATTCGACATAAAATGTTTCAATGATATTTTTTAAAATTCATTACCATATATATATATATATATATATATATATATATATATATATATATATATATATATATATATAATTTGATACAAGATTACATATCGGTCCAAAATGTGAAGCGAATTTTCGTTAAAGGTTATACAGTATGTGTGTGTGTGTGTGTGTGTGTGTGTGTGTGTGTATGTGTGTGTGTAAAACAAGTATTTTTTATAAATTGGCCACAATAAATATACAAATCATTACGACTATTGTCTAGCAATTAAAATGTGATACTAATAAATACATTTAAAACATATCATCTTCTGGTTATTTCTATATGAAACCTTTTGTTCACATGTACGTAAAACATGTACTTCCAATTTTAATAACGCTTAAAAGCGTTAATATAAAATGTATAAACTATTGTAGCATGGTTTACCGTGAAACCGGATATTGTGGTGAAAGATGCATAATCACTCTGTTGTGCAAAAAGATACAGCTTTAATCCAAACACGCTGCCTTCTGTTTCAACACTCTTCAATTCACCTTCTTAAAAAAAACAAGAACAACAGCAAGAACAACTACAATGGACTACCTCAGAATCCAAATGCCCCAGTAAATGCATTCAAAACAACAAGCATTTGGTCCGGTTCATCATCTGTGCATATTTAAACAAAGCATACATGTAGTTTTTATCAATACTTTGAATCAGAAAACATATTATAGTTAAGTGCTTTTTACACTCGTATTTGATATATATTGATAAAAGGAAAACGAAAGTAGGTTTAAAAGGAGATATACGGAATTAACATTTAACTCAGCATTAATACTAGGGGATTTTACATACGTTTTTTTCATAGAAAAAAGAAAATTACGCTGTTAATGAAAATTATATTTCGTTGCCCGTTTTCCCCGCTTAATTGATGTTAAATATATCATAGTGCCCAAAAATGGACGTTCCCACCATTAATGTAATATGCTCTGAAACTTCGTAGTTTGACGTCATCAGAAAAAAGAACCGGTTCCAGGGCTGGTACCATTTTGAGGTGGCAGCATTAACCTTGCCTTACCTGCGTTAAATTGGATACAAGATCCCATTTCAGTTTCGATCATTGAAAAATCGCCATCTGTACACATCGCATTTTTGAAGTAGCAAAGCTGCAAGGAAAAAAATGTAATGAATTGTACGATGTTGTAATAGAATTTTATTGAATGTAAGGATTAGAAGAACCGGCTTCGTGTCATTCGTGTTGAAAAGGCCCCAAAAGCATCAGCACTAAAACTGAACAATAAATTGAAGAAAATTAAGATCATTGAGTTTTAAATTTGTAGGGATTTAGTGAGAAGAGAGTTTACTGACTAATACTGAAACAATTAACGCCAAATAGCCTACAACAAGAAAGCGTAACTCTTGATATATTTAAGAATGATGTTGACAAAACGACTACAGCCTATGACTCTTTTTCTAATGAAACATAATTGTTTAATCAATCTCAGTAATACTAAAATGATAATGTTAATAATGTCCTTTAAAAACTATTTTTATATGTCACATGTGCCATTTTTATCAAATGTATGGAGTACGTAAAACGTGCAGCTGAAGATCAAGCCCTTGATAAACATTTAAAAGACTTTTCTGATATGCTGAGGTATTGTACAATTTTAGAGTAATGTACACATGCATTTCTACTTACTGCCGGCATTAGATCCGCCATCTTGTATTGGTTTCTGGTGTGGAAATCTGTCCAGTTGTATTGTTCGATATTAGTAAAGTTGGGGTGATTGAAGACAATATCAAAGTAGTTTGCCTGTTTGAGATGTCCGTTCGCTTTGAGATACGGCAGCTTAAACATATTGTTGTTGCAGATGGTTACTGTGGGGAAGTGAATTGAGTCGTTGTGATGAAATTTTATATCCACCGACGCTGGGTTCTCGAGGAAATAGGAAATGCGGTTCCAAAGATGGAAAATTAAGAAACCTGACCCACATAAAACGAACGCTAGCCAGATTAATCGCCTGACAGGTGAGAATTTAGGATTTGCCACCTGCTTCATTCCGAGAATGCTAACGTTATTGGCAAATTCAGATATCTCATCCTTTATATTTGGGATGGTTTCATCCTTATGCTGGTCTGGCTTACGTTTGGTAATGTTGGTGCCAGAATGGTGTGACTTGTCTCTTAAGTCGGCACGAAAATTTTTGTTCTGTTTTATAAATTCTGTTCCTTTTTCTTCAACAAAAAATGGATATACGCCAGACATTTTCTTCTTGGTTGCAACCTACAAAGAGAAACCACGTAATTGCACGAAATGGATATTGAAATCTTACTCCTTTGTTTCGAATTGTTAAACATGGTTTTTGACATTTCAATAGATTGTTGTTTTACCTTTTCTTCCATCAGTCTCTTTTATGCCTAAGACAGTAATGTAATTTCTTTTTAATGAGCATTTTTTGTGTATTTTACATTTATAATTGTTTACCATCACATTACAATACGATGAATCATCACACAGATTTTCTGGATTTTCTGTAATATTCTATCCGAATCTATCCATCAATATTACCATCCTCTTACCTGAGTTTAAAAATGTTTTGTACTGTCGCGTTATATCTAAAATTAGTCACTTTTTCCCCATAACTCTCCGTTATAACATATCAATCAAAGTATTGCAATTGCTTTATAAGGAAATGGTTTAATAATTGACCTAGATTTACAAGTGCTTTTTATACAGATGATCTCACTGTGATAGAATGATAACTTTTTAATACCTTTTTGTTGCTTTCTTATACTTTAACTTTTTTCTATTAAAATATTAGTCGTACCATTTGACACGTACTTGCATTCTTTGACTTAGTGACATGTAATTTCATCAAACTTTAAATGAACAAAATAAAATTTGTAGCAATAACTTGTTTTCATTACAATAAAATTGAAAATATGGCCAGGTTTCTTTCCCTTGAGATGTGGCTTATCGAATAAACTAATATTTTGCATAGTTTTGCAGTAATTTTGTGTACCGTTTTCGTCAATAAAAATGAACCAGTACGACAGGTTGTCATTTGTGTGTAAAGTTGTATAAGAGTCACAATTCCAGTGCACTTTACGTTATTATAAAATAAATTTGCATCATTCCGGATCCGAAGACATACGCATACACTTACCTAGCAACCTCGGACACTTCGACGATGAAGTTAAAATGAAATGAGATATCGCAGTTAAGTTTTTACTCTATCGACCATATTAATGCATAGATCTCTGTTTACTTGGCTACTAATTGTGTGTTTAAACGGGAATGAATTGACCTAATCCAGCACTCCTAAAGACTGGGAATGGGGAGGGCGGAAATGAGGGAAGCATCCAGACGTCGCGTCCGGAACAATTAATGTTCCAACCTGGACGGATATAGGCTCAAAATGATGACATCGATTTAAGTGTCATTTCACAAAAAGTGACCCTGGCGTTCACATATTGTTCAATACTTTCATAATTCTGACTTGCCCCATTATTTTTGCTGTCTTTTGTATTATAACTAACAGTGTGGAAAGAAATCAACAGGAATTAAGAATTGATGTGAAACAGTTGCAGTCGTCAGGAAGACGGGGCTATCGGTACTAATTAGATGACCAAGGCACATCGCTGCATATGCGCCCTTGCAGGTTTTCCTCGATATTGCCACACCTGGATTAGTGATTGTCATGTTCTATGGGAAGGAAACTATTGATATTTATATCTTGGTGCCGTTAAGCCTAGTTTATTTATAGTGTGTGAACATTAATTGCTCTACTCACGTTATTTAGTCGTCGCTGTAAGTAAACAAATTAATGGTCACTTTGAAGACAAGTAGATAGGACTAAATGGCGGTCATTTCTAAAAACAAATCCAGTGAATTTATTACATAATGGTGGTTAAATCCTAGCAGTAAATAATTATATACTCATTTCATTATAACATCGAGGAAGTAAGATATGCAATTTCCCAATGTGTGTTAGGCCTAGAGGTTTGTTATTTTTTGTAGTTTTTTTTTTTTCATCCATCCGTGTCAGTTTACACTTATATTCTTTTTGCTACTTCTACCTTTGCTCTGACGCTGTTTTCCATATCAAATAAACAGGGGCAGATCCAGAGATACATGTATTTTCTGAAAGTGTTCCAAATTATCTTTGTTGATCCATTCTCCTTTTCTGACCGTCTTCCGACAGAAAAATTTAGAAACCCGTCAATCTAAAGTTGAAAACCTGGCCGTCTTCTGGAAGACCCAGAAGACGGCCTCAATCCGCCCCTGATAAATGCCTTTACATTTTTTTTTATGCTGAGGTGGATTGAATGACTTAGAGAAGACGTCCCACAGAATTAAAACCTTCAACGTAAACTCAATTGAAAAATAGGTTATAAATGTACGATGTATGCATATGCATGTATATAGTACAAAATGTAGTCCCGCAAGGATGTTCTTTCACAGTTTCTCACCACCGAGTCTCAAAAACCATTCGCATTCTTATTTTTAAATGCATCACATCTATCAAGAAGAAGTCGTGTATTAAAGGGACTTTATATCCACGTTAGGGGTCCGCTGCATTACCCCACCCCCAGCAAATCCTCGAGGAAACTTTTATGTAATCCAATGAACTTCATAAATTCAATCGTCTCGATTTATTTTTACATAATGACTAATGGAAGGTGACGTGCATAAGTAATGGGTTCCACATTTTGACAACGTTAATTACCGTTGAATTTTCGAGGGCATCTAGAGTGTGTGACGAAGTTGTTGACTATATCTTTTACGCGAGGTAGCAAATACAACTCAGTAATAATCTTTCTTATTATTTATTTACTACATTCCAGTTGTTACCCGTGCCGCTTTCTTCATTTCTATTTCTACCCAATGCAATCTCTAGAGACCTTCTCTCTCTGTTCACATAACGCGCAGTGGTATAAATATCATAAGAGCATGTCGATCAACTCAAGTTACTCTACAAAACACTCTCCGCTCCTCAGTCATTTGTGGCTGTCAATTACTTAACATTACAAGTAATCTCAATAAAGCGTAGGCTCAACGTACTTGACAATCTGACCATCAACTTGTTTCTTACCATTTAACAGTGCACCACAGTTGCGACTGTCATCTTATTGACACAGAGAGGGGTCGATTTTGTAAATGTTTTGCACATTATAATCGTCAATAAATCAATATAGTTTAAATGCTAAGTCGTCATCGTTATGGTTTTATACATGGTGTGCGGCAGTAATTATACTCAGCGTTAGCAGTAGAGAGAGATACAAGAAATAAGGTAAAATAAACGGTTAAATTCTAAATTTGGAAGGTAACAGTTGTGTCTCAATCATTAGATATAAGTGATTATGTTGGTGTAGATTCCTACATGTAGGAAGATTAAGGTCCACAGCAGAGTGACAAGCTGTATTATACCGGGAATCATATGTTTACCCCCTTTTTTTGCAAAGGGCTTCTCCCGGATTTCAAATATGAAAATCAGTGTTTCCTTTTTTTTTTTTTTTTTTTTTGAGAAAAAACATATCATACAGATAAAGTATAAAAATAATTTTCAAAACTGATTGAATCAATACCTAGAGTACGTTGAAAAGACAACTGACGTCAGATTTTGTAAGGGCAAGATGGGAATATAATCAGTCATAAACTAATGTAACAGACAGATTATTTCAGAGAGGAGGAAATATTTGATTTACATTACATGAACAGCTTTGTTTGAAATTTGGTATAGGTCTACATCACATGAAACGGTCTACCTCTTACAGTTCCCATGATTAAGTACAAGTTTTACGGACGACGAGAAGTTGAAACTTGATACAGATTCTGAATCGCTTGCATTTGTGGTGTTGTCGTTAGGGTCGGATTTAAAGTGTATTTTTAGATAGTTTACCCAGGACATTTTCTGAGTTGCTTTTGGCTCAATAGTTCGATCTAGGTCTTTTATTAAGCAGAGATTAAGGGTCCATGAATGCATATTGGTGGATAAATGTTGCATTTTTACGACTTCTACCATAAAACTCACCGGCGTATGCTTTTTTTTGCAGACCCGGCGCAAACAGGGTTGCAAAGGTAATAAGAATGTCTGTTGTTCACCCTTTCTCACTCGATTACCCGGAGACGAAATCAGCCTTTAACAAACAAAGCATTGGAGATACACAAAAGGAACAGGGCTGGACCAATGGCCCGGACAAGCACAAAGACGAAGTAGTCCCAACTTTGAAAGAAGAGATGGTTGATTTTGCCAACAACGTTAGCATACTTGGGATGAAGCAAATTGTGAATACCAAATACTCGCCTGTCCGACGACTCATTTGGTTAGCTTTTGTTTTAACAGGGTCAGCATTCTTAGTTTTCCATCTCTGGAACCGGATTGCCTATTACCTGGAGAACCCAGCCTCAGTGGACGTGAGGTTTAACTATAACGACACTATTCCATTTCCCACGCTGACTATCTGCAATAACAACAGATTCAACGTTGCAAAACTTTCTCAGAACAGTCAATACAACCTGGCAAGTTTCTTCGACTTTGCGGTGACGCCCAATTTCACTGGGTACGACATGGACGCCTACAACTGGACAGCGTTTTACATTGATAACCAATACACAATGGTGGACATTGCGCCATCGGTGAGTTTAATGTTTATTTGAAAACGAAATACACAAACTATATTAAATGCACGCTTGGTTTTAAACAGTGGCAAATACAT